CTGACTGAGACACACACACACACATACACACACACACACACATACACACACACACACACAGACAGACAGACAGACACACACACAGACACACACACAGACACACACACACACCTACCTCGGGCTTAGAAAGCCTGGGTTTTGTACAGCCTGTCTCTGAAATTGGTTTCCATTAGCTCCACTGTGATTATTAACTTTCCATTGATGCAGCAGCATAGTCTGAGGCACAGTGACGTCAAGCAGTGTCCTTGACGGAGAAGCAGCACCCAGTCACCTGCTGAGGAGTTCAACAAGTGTGTGTGTGCAAGACAGACAGAGGAAGAGAAGGAGACAATGCCCCCGTGTGTGTGTGTGTGTGTGTGTGTGTGAGGAGAAAAAGAGAAGAGCGTACTTACTGCACAGAGCAATGATGTGGCTGCTGTCCTCGTGGACAAATTTCTTAGTCACTGCTTCCTCCATAATCTGCTTCACCTGCACACGAAAGAACCAGAATTGGTTACTGTGTCTGGAATCACTGTCATTGTCTTTACTTCAGTGACGCTGCCTCTATTGCAGCAGTCCATACCATTATCACTGTCAAGGTAAGCATCAGTTATACATCATCCATAAGACTAGAAAAGATATTATCACAGGAAATCATAAAACACCACTCATAAACTCTGATCTCTGCATTGAGAACCTGCTGTGTTTTCATACAAATATATGTCATGTTTGTTCTCTTTGGAGTTGATTTAAGGAGACTGCACTGACAGAAAATCCAAGGAGACATCATAGTGCTGCCCACACAGTTTAACTGACAAGTGATTTCTGGGAAGTGCAGCGCAGAAACACCACAGCAATTAGCACTTTGCATCAAAGATAGAGAAAAAAAGGTTGAAAAACAGACATTGCAGAGCCCACACCAAACGCCTTCAGCCCCTCTACTGGACAGCAGCACTGCAGTGTTCATTACTTCCACCATATGAAGGTGTCGGATGATTTAACTATTTAAAAGAAAATTACAAGTAGTAGGGACAAGAATTAAAAAGGGTTTATGCTTGAGAAAAAGTCACACTGTCCTCAAAATCAAAGGGGTTCAAGCATTAATGTGCTCAGCAAATTTATGCTCATCTGCCAACTGAGGTTACATGTGCAAAGACATTTTTGCCTGTGGCTCTGAAGACAGCTCAGAGTGTATAAAATGGAAAGGGTTCATCCTCTGGGGATTATGAATGTGCTCAGTAAGTTTTATGACAACCCCAGTGTCAGATTTTGATTGTTATTTGTGTACAAGTAAACATTGTAGACTGATGAAGGTGCTAGGAAAAGTGGCCAGACATTACAGCTTGATTCCACCGGTTATGTCTGCATCACATTTCGGCCACTGTAGCTGATCGTGGTCAAACTAGACGATGCTTGTGATTCCACCAGAGGCACCGCAGCGTGTTTCAGAAGCTGCTCTGTGCTCTGTAAACGGAAGCCACACCAAGCTGCACAACGGCATAGAGAATCCGGTCAAAAATAAAACACTGTGCAAACTCCTGATCGTAAAAACAAACTAACAAGAAACTAGCCTAATTACCAATGGTAGAATCACATAAATCAAGAAAAAAAACAAAATTGGGTGAGCAAAATGCTGTGCTTCTGAAGCGCTGTGCTGAGAATGGAACAGAACAGCGTTGCTGAGCTGCTGAGGCGGTGGCAGGGTGTGACCATCTTTATAGCACTGGCAAGATTATGATGAGGGAAATTCCACCTAAGCAGTCTTTTTGATGGTGTTTTGGTTGCTTGTTCTACATATATTAACATAGCCTATGTAAGCCTATCTTATCCACTCCATGCTCCAGCTGTTGAATGCCACTCTGCTCTCTGGTGTGCGAATAGAGCCTCGGTCCTGCAGCTTTGATTATGCTGCAGAGGTTACATTTCCATTTGGAGCACTTTGCAAACCTGGCACCTATACTACCCACAATGCCACTTGACTGCTGTCAGTTCAGTCTGAGATTCGGGTGTGTTATGCTAGTAGCAGCTAATGTAGCTGTTAGCTTGCAGCAGAGCTGATGAGTCTGGTAAGCTCACTTCTTTCTCAAAATGTTTCATTTTCAAACCCAACTGGTGCTGACTCAAGTGACATCACTTGAGGACATTTATCAAACTTCAAACTGCTCCCTCTGGAGACACAAAAGGCTTTATACAACTTAGTCCTCAACAATGGGAAACATTTCTCCATTAAGATATGACTTTAATGATCCCACACAGGGGGAAATTCACTAATGACGTAGTAGTGCACGTACTGAATATACTAAACCTTTTGCCAAAGTCACAGCTGAACTGATCTCCAACTGATTTCTAACTGTAATGACATTGTCATCGTCGAGTGCCAGTTGTATTTAACCCCTGCAACTCTAGCATCAGCAACAGATTTGTGTGTTTAAGAGGGACCTTAAGTCATTTTGTTTTTTTGCTCAGCCTTTATTGAAAAAAATGTATATATCACCTATAAATGTGGATATATTTAATTCAGATTCCCTTTGTTAGTACTACCAACCTATAACTGTTTGTATTTGGTTAACAATATGGAAACTTTCTTGCCAAAGTGTGTTACAAAAACATAAATATAAAAGAATTATTCAGTCCCCTCTTAACATTGTGACAGCTACTAATAACAGCTCTGACAGACCCTCCCAAACATCCGCATCACTGACTTCCAATTAATATCATGGCATCCCAGAAACATTCAAATGAGTCTTTCTGCTGCTATCTATTGTGTCTCTGGGGAGGAGAGCCTGAGTGAGTTCAACAACACTGAGTCAGTCTGGTGTTCGCTTGTCTAAGTTTGCTCTCTCCGTAGAATTAATTGTCGTCGGTAATTAATCCGGGACCTGTCTGACACCTCTGCCTTGTTTGGGTCTAATTGATAAACAGGACAATTTTAATTGCTCGGTTGTGTGATAATAAAGCTCTCACTGCGGTATCATTCGGTTCAAACTTTTTCCCCGTATTACAGAGGTGTGGGAGGTTGTAGAGCTGTCATGTCTGTGACAGAGTGATGGAGCTTCATCATCCTCATCACCAAGAAAAGGTTCAGCTATCATCAAGTTTGCTAATTAAAGTTTTTTGTTAGGGGTGGGCAGCTACTGAAAGCACTGGCAAAGTCGATGACGAATACAGACAAGCATTCTGTCATGAGGAACACTGGTGTCCACCTTGGTGCTGGCCAGGAAATCCATTACATAACTTGTTTTTTTTATATCTGTTAACATTACAACAAATGTCCATCATTAGCGTCTTAATGATTATAGTGGCAACCAATAGTAGTACTTAGTACTTACTGTGTAAAGGACAACAGCAGAGAGACAGAATTTAGGCCCTGGTTTGTTTGGTTAAAACACAGGTAAAGTTCCTAATCTTCCACAAAGACCCATTAACATGTGATCAGTATCTGGATAACCTATCTAGATATGAAACAACTAGAAATAGAAATAGTGCCCCCTTCCCCTGGGGGAAATGTGGAATATTTCTATTGATTTAATTTAACAGAAATAGAATATAACATTCATAGCTATGTTTTCATTAGTGTATAATCGCCTGAAAATAAGAATCGTGGCAGCCAACAGTGGTACATGTACCATAGTTTGAGAACCAGTGAGCTGGAGAATAAATGCTGTAAGTGGTTATGAGACCATTCAAAGGGTCCTCTGGGGTCAGTCTGTAATTGAGAACTAGCAGGAGTACTTAATAGAGCAACTCAATGAACCATTTCAAGTTGGTATGAGCTTAAAAGGTCACTCTCTCTTTGTAAATCTATATTATTTCTCTCCATGCACATGTATTTTAGCACATGTATCTAGAACAGTATTCCACATGACCCAGGACAATGAAAATTACACTAATTAATATCCTACTTTATAAAACTGTTTGAAAATGTAAACTATATCACTATACAATATGTTGAACTTGTCCAGTTGGACAAGTGCCATTAGCCCACAGATCTGGTCACACGGGCTTTTAACTATTCCTGTCTTAACATACCAGACGCCCACACACCAACAACAACTATCTTTGCATGGTTAAAAAAAAGCTTTGATAAGGACATGGCAGGCCATTTATAGGTTAGTGTAAATTCATGTGATAATAAATACAATATATAAATGAAATATTACTGGTCTGTGATTACACCAACTGTACCTTCAACCAAATAACCTGGATGTCAAACTACCACACACCAACCAACGTTGCTCTAGTATTATCTAGCTGAATGTATGACCAATATGGCAATATCCCCCAACTAGTACAAAGGTTTAATTAATGGAAGATCCCATACTAAACATCTGCTGGACGAGCAGACATCACTCTCAGGTCTGAGTGAACTCTGGTGAACTACTGCTTTTCATTCTGTCTTTTAATGCTCTCCTACAGGGCCTCTGACTGACCTCAGCCTCCACAGAGATGTGCAAATAGATCCATATATTTACCTACAGCTATAACTCTACCCAATGAATCAGAGCAAAGTGATACACAGCGGTCAGCCAGAGGGGTCGATACCTTCACCTGGGTGTGAGTGACTGAGATTGAATTGATTGTGTTTGGCAATGAACCAGTTTAATTAGTGCCGGCTGTCAGGGATTTCATTGGGATTGGAGTTTGGTATGCTCCTCAGTGCTTGATTAAGTATATTAGAAGGAATTAGCATTACAATATGTGTTTATCAGTGTGATGTACACTGAAAGCAGCAGATACTTAAATCACGTCATTCACTTGGATCACTGCAAAACGTTCATACCATATATGCAAAACATTTACTGACAATACATTTCTTTAGTTTTGTAGGATTTGCATCGTTTTGGTATGTGAACTCAAAGCTATAGTTAAGGTTAACAGTGATGCGAGACAAGATACATTTTTCAATATTTAACCAAAACCAAGACTATAGCCAGAGGTGTATAGTAACGAAGTAGATGTACTTCGTTACACTACTTAAGTAGGTTTTTTGAGGATCTGTAGTTGAGTTTTTTTTTTTTTAAAATCAAGACTTTTACTCTACTACATTTAAAAGTTACAACATATACTTTTACTCCGTTACTTTGACGTTTGCCACCTCGTTACTAGTTACAAATTAAAATATAATCAATCATCAAAGGATTATCTGGAATGGGCGTGTCCGAGAGGACGAGAAGAACAACATACGGTACTCTCGCGAAGATTAGAGGTAAGGGCGGGATTCAGAATCATTACCGCTTTTTCTGTTAGCATTTAACAGACAGCTGTTAAAATAATTCAATTAATATCACAAATGTTCAGCGACTATTCGACTGTTGGTTTGAACTAACAAGTACTAGTAGACAAGGAAAATCTTAAGTCAGTGACAAATAAAATGAAACAAAAATAAAAATTCAAAGTAATTTATATTTTGAGTAGAATTTCTAATTTGCCTTTTTGGCTGCTGCCCCCAAGATGAACTCAGCTTGGTAGGATTATGCAAGCCTCCAGTG